TCCATCCACTCTCCTTCCTTCTTGACCAGCCCGACTCCGTCGTTAACGTCGGCGAGGACAATGGGATGAAAGCGGCTCGGCAGTTTCTTGAGCTGCCCCTGGGCCCACGAAGACAATTGGCGACAGCACGCTAGATAAGTACGCATACCTGCAGCAGAGGAAGGCCGAGGAGGAAAGTAAAGCACCATTATGCACAGATTCCAGCCTCCCCTGCCGCATTCAACTGACAAGCCACGGCCCTGGAGTGCAGGAGGTGGGACTGCGACTTGTCGTACATCTCGCTGTCTCCATCCTGGCGGGAGCAGGGCCGCTACTCCTGCGGAGCGATTAATCAGGTGACCGCATCGCCACCCTGCGTCGATGCATACCCTATTCTGAATCATGAATGTCTGATAATCAAGGTCAACCAAAGCCTTTCTTTGTGTACCTGGCAGTCCCACCACAGCAACATTGGCGAGCTCAAGAGAGATTTCCAAAGTCGATCACCTGTGGCATGAAGGGGATTGTAGGTGACAGCCGTGATGACCATCGCTGGCCAGAGACCTCTGAGCATGGAAAGGATGTAGAGTGGGGCCGAACGGTATGGACGTGGGCCCTCCTAAGCCCCGCATTCTGCAGACCTGAGCAGAAGGGGCTAGGAGGAGGAGGAGGAGGAGGAGGAGGAGGAGGAGGAGGAGGAGGAGGGAGGAGGAGGAGGAGGAGGAGGAGGAGGAGGAGGAGGAAGAGGAGGAGCTTGGGCACGCGGGGGGGCTTTGGCACCGCCCCGCCCCGGGAGCTCGTGCCGCGCTCGGGCCGCCGCAGGGCGGCCGACCGGCCACGACGGGGGCAGCCAGCGTGCTGCGGCAGGTTCGCGCGGCGCCGGCCATGCGCAGGTTTTTGACGCTGCCCCTCCTTTCCCCTCCTCCTCCTCCTCCTCCCTCCTTCCTCCTCCTCCTCTATACCTACTCCTCCTCCTCCCCCTCCTCCTCCTCTTCCTCCTCCTCCCCCTCCCCTCCCCTCCTTCCTCCCTTCCCCCTTCCCCCTCCCATCCTCCTCCTCCTCCTCCTCCTCCGCCTCCTCCTCCGCCTCTCGTCCAACCTTGAACCGATCGCGGCCCTGGTCCTGTGCACGTGCTCGAGCTCTCAGGATGCCCCCCGCCGTCAGCTCCCCTTCAGCTTCGCGGCTGCTTTGTGAGTGGGCCGGCCGGCCTGTGCCTGCTGTAGCTAATTAGGCTTGCCCGCTTGCCCGGACTCCCTGCCCGCCGCCTGCCTCTTCGCTTGCGGCCGCGACCGAAAAACAGCTCGTCCAACCTTGAACCGATCGCAGCCCTGGTCGTGCAAGGTCGAATGCCGTCGGGTCCCGTGGCGTTGCCCGGCCACGACGGGGGGCAGCCCCCGTGCTGCGGCAGGTTCGTGCGGCGCTGGCGCACTCGCAGGTTTTGAAAGGGGCCCCAACACACACAAATACTTATATACACACAAATAAACATATTCCCCATATGTTCCCATATCTGGGGGGCTTTCGTCTCCCCCCCCCACTTCCCATATTTTCCCCTATTTTCGGGGGAATCGACGATTCATTGTGTCTGTGTGTTATTTTTTCCCTCCTGAGTTTTCGACACTGCCTCGCTCGTCCAACCTTGAACCGATCGCGGCCCTGGTTGTGCAAGGTCGAATCCCGTCGGGTCCCGTGGCGTTGCCGTGGTCTCTCAGTGCTTCCGCGCCGCTGCATCCTGCGGGATGCCACCTTGCGGAGACATGCAGGGGTGACCCTGCGTAAGAGGGACCTTTGGCGCGCGGCTTTTTGAGGGCCGTGGGGGGACCAACACACAGGCGCACAGGACGCTTCTACCTCACCGCGCGCGACGATCGGGGGGCCCCAATGGGCGCGCACCAAAAGGTCACTCCGGCGAGAGGTCACTCTTGCGTGAAATCGAAACCTGGAACGCCTTCGCCGGCGTCGCCGGCGCGCCATCGCCGGACGAACCTGCCGTACCAGAGTGAAGGGGCCCAGGGACACACACAAACACACACACAACCAACACACACACAACACACACAACACACACAACACACACAACACACACAACACACACAACACACACAACACACAACACACAACACACACAACACACACACAACACACACAACACACACAACACACACAACACACATAACACACACAACACACAACACACATAGATACACATAAATCCCAGGATCCCCCGTATTTTCCCACGTCTTCTGGGCTCTCGTCGTCCCCCACCCACCCTTCCCATACTTCCCCATACTTTCCCGGGGATCGACGATTCATTGCGTCCGTGTGTGTTTGAAGGGGCCCCAGGACACGCAAATAGATACACACAAATAAAAGGATTCCCTCTAGTTCCCCATATTTTCTGGGGCTTCGTCTTCCCCCCCACCTCCCATATTTTTCCATATTTTCCTGCTAGTGAACGATTAATTGTGTCTGCGTGTTTTTTCCCCTCCTGAGTGTTTTCCCACTCCTGCCAGCGGGAGCGCGCCGCACCAGCAGCGAGAGCGGCCGATTATTATCCATCGACTCAGATCGGGGCTCCTCCTCCTCCTCCTCCTCCCTCCTCCTCCTCCCTCCTCCTCCTCCTCCTCCTCCTCCTCCTCCTCCTCCTCCTCCTCCTGAACCCGAGGCGTCGTCGTCGTCGTCGGGGTCGTCGTAGTCGTCGTCGGCGTCGTCGGCGTCGTCGGCGTCGTCGCCGTCGTCGTCGGCGGCGTCGTCGTCGTCGTCGTCGTCGTCGTCGTCGTCGTCGTCGTCGTCGTCGTTGGCGTCGTTGTCGTCGTCTTCTTCTTCGCCGTCGGCGTCGTCGCCGTCGAGGTTGGCGCCCCTCTTGAACCCAAGGTGATCCTTGTCTCAGCGCCTTGGCTGTATCCACGATCCCTCGAAACGGGTGTCGAAACCGATGCGCTTCCCCGAAGGGGTCAGGACCACGGCTCCCCCAGGTTGTGGCCGGCCTGGCCATGTGGGCCAGCGGCGTTCGAGGAACGAGTTGTTCGCACCGTGGCCCGTCGACGTCATCGCCGCCGTCGTCGTCGTCGTCGGCGGCGGCGGCGGCGGCGCTGGCGATGGCGGCGTCGGCGTCGGCTTCGGCGATGGCGGCGTCGGCGTCGGCGTCAGCGCCGCCGTCGTCGTTGTCGTCGCCGCCGTCGCTGTCGACGTTGTCGTCGTCGGCGCCGTCGCCGTCGTCGTCGTCGTCGTCGTCGTCGCCGTCGTCGTCGTCGTCGTCGTCGGCGGCGTCGCCGTCGCCCGCGGAGATCTTGAGCTTGAGCGTGAGCTTGTTCGCAGCGATCCCTCTTCGGCGATCAGGTTAAGACAATCCAGCGGGACGATCAACGCACGTCGATGCGCTCTTTGTCTTGCGGGAGCCTTCCAGGCCAAACTGGCTACCGAGGATGTGCACGCAAAGCATCGCCCCAACACGTGTGCATCGTGGGCTTACCTGGATCCCAAAACCCCTTCCCAAAGAACGGCTTTTCATCCGGGTCCTTCTTTGAGGGCCCGGGTGCCACGATCCTTTGGTCTCCCCTTGGCGCAGCGCTTGTCGCCGGCGCAGCCACCGCCGAAGCTGCCGCCGTCGTCGTCGTCTTCGCAGTCGACGTTGTGGGCGTCGTGGGCGTCGCCGTCGTCGTCGTCGTCGTCGTCGTCGTCGTCGTCGTCGTCGTCGTCGTCGTCGTCCTCGTCGCCCTCGTCGTCGCCGTCGACGTCGTCGTCGTCATCGTCGCCGTCGTCGTCGCCAGCGTCGTCGTCGTCGTCGTCGTCGTCGGCGTCGTCACCACCGACGTCGCCGTCGTAGCCGTCGTCGTTGTCGTCGTCGTCGACGTCGTCGTCGTCGTCGTCGCCGTCGTCGTCGTCTTCGCAGTCGACGTTGTGGGCGACGTGGGCGCCGCCGCCGTCGTTGTCGTCGTCGTCGTCGCCGTCGTCGTCGACGTCGTCGTTGTCGACGTCGTCGTCGTCCTCGTCGCCCTCGTCGTCGCCAGCGTCGTCGTCGTCGGCGTCGTTACCACCGACGTCGCCGTCGTCGCCGTCGTGTTTGTCGTCGTCGTCGTCGACGTCGTCATCGTCGTCGTCCTCGTCGCCCTCGTCGTCGCCAGCGTTATCGTCGTCCTTGTCGTCGTCGTCGTCGTCGTCGTCGTCGTCGTCGTGGTCGTCTTCTTCGCAGTCGACGTTGTGGGCGTCGTGGGCGTCGCCGTGGTCGTCGTCGTCGTCGTCGTCGTCGTCGTCGTCGTCGTCGTCGTCCTCGTCGCCCTCGTCGTCGCCGTGGTCGTCGTCGTCGTCGTCGTCGTCGTCGGCGTCGTCGACGTCGTTGGCGTCGGCGTCGTCACCACCGACGTCGTCGTCGCCGTCGCCGTCGCCGTCGTCGTCGTCGTCGTCGTCGTCGTCGTCGTGGTATTCGTCGTCGTCAACGACGTCGTCGTCGTCGTCAGCATCGTCGGCGTCGTCGTCGTCGGCGTCGTCGGAGTCGGCGTCGTCGTCGTCGTCGGCGTCGGCGTCGTCATCGTCGTCGTCGTCGCCGTCGTTGTTGGTGTAGTCGGTGGCGGCGTCGCCCCTCGGCGCAGACTTGCCCCTCCGCGCAGCGCTCGTCGACGCCGCCACGGCCGCAGACGCTACGCAGACGCAGCCGACGCGGACGACGCTCGTTGTCGTCGCCGTCGCCGTCGTCGCCCGTCGTCGTCGTCGTCGCCGTCGTCGTCCTCGTCGTCGTCGTCGTCGTCGTCGTCGTCGTCGTCGTCGCCGTGTCGCCGACGAGGTTTGCGCCGTCGGCGTCGTCGCCGTCGTCCTCCTCGTCGTCGTCGTCGTCGGCGTCGTCGTCGCCGTCGAGGTTGGCGCCGTCGGCGTCGTCGCCCTCGGCATCGTCGCCGCTGGCGCCGCCGTCGCCGTCGTCGTCGTCGTCGCCGTCGTCGTCGTCGTCGTCGTCGTCGTCACCGTCGTCGCCGTCGTCGTCGTCGTCGGCGCCGTCCGCGGAGATCCGGGCCCTCCGAGCAAGGCACGCTGCTCTCAGCGGGCCGCCACACGCTCGCGGCGTGGCCCTCGCCGGCGGCCACCAGGAGCGGCCTGCCGAGGTGGCACGCCAGGCTGGTGACGCGGCCGGCGTGGCACCGCAGCAGCTGGAGGCACCGGCGGCCCTCGAGGAGGGAGGCAGAAGAGGAGGAGGAGGAGGAGGAGGAGGAGGAGGAGGAGGAGGAGGAGGAGGAGGAGGAGGAGGAGGAGGGGGAGGGGGGGGAGAAGGGGGAGCGGGAGAAGCGGGAGGGAGGAGGAAGAGGAGGAAGGGTGAAGGAGGAGGATGAGGAGGGGAGGAGGACTGAGGGAGAGGGAGAGCAGGCAGGCTCAGGGGGGGTGGGGCCCTCTCCGGGTTCGAACCTCCCCCCGCCTTCCCGGCGTCGACAGAACGCGCGTTTTTTCTGACTGTGATGATGCTGCTGTTGCTGCTTCTGCTGCTGCTGATGATGATAGAGGGCTTCAGGGCAGAAGGTTCCAGGCAGAGGTCACCCTGGTGGGGAGGAGACTGCTTTCAAGCGTGGATGGTTACAAGATCAGGAAAAGGGTAAGAAACGAGAGGAGCTGCATGAGGAGAAAGAGGCGAGGAGGAGGATGCCTCCACGTCCCAGATCCGCACAGTCTTGTCGTCCGACCCAGAGGCCAATCGCGACGACCCAGCGGAGTGCAGGTACGCCACACATGTGACTCCCTTCGCGTGTTGCCCTCCTCCTCCTCCTCCTCCTCCTCCTCCTCCTCCTCCTCCTCATGCTCTTTGCCCTCTTTCTGCTCCTTCTCTCCCTCCTCCTTCCCTCCGACCTCCTCCTCCTCCTCTGCCCCCTCCCACCTCCTCCTCCTCCTCCTCCTCCTCCTCTTCCTCGTCCTCCTTTTCCCCCTTCTCTTCTCCTTCTCCTCCTCCTCCTCCTACTCCAACTCCTCCAACTCCTCCCTCCTCCTCCTCCTCCTCCTCCACCTGCGTCTTGAGCCTTGGTGTGTCCGCGCAACTCGTACGTTGACACCAGCTCGTCGGGAGAAAGCGAGGAGAATCCCAGCTCTCGCGCGCCGAAGTTCCACAGCCTGACCGAGCTGTCCATCGACGACGAGGCGAATGACACACAACTGTCCAGGCTCCACTGGCACATAGTGACAGGCAGCGAGTGCGCAGAGAAAACCTTTGAGGGGAGGATGGAAAAGGGAAGGAGAAGGAGGAGGGGGCGGAGGAATGAGAAGGAGGAGCAAGGATTCTGATGAGAAGGAGGGCGCAGGGCGGACAGGAGGACAGAAGGATCATGATGAGCAGAAGGAGGATGCAAAGACCTGACTGCATCTCCAATCGCCTTCCCGCTCGAAGAGCTTGATGCTGCAGTCGTCCGACGCGGATAAGAACCAGGGGAGAGATGCATGTGCGGCCAGGTACCGGATGGGGCCCTGGTTAGGGGGCCACATGCGAACCCTACCCCTACCCCCCACGATTTCTGAGGGGGAGGGTGGGGTTCACTTCGCTCGTGACCTCCCGAACGAAGTGAACCCCCCTCCCCTCAGAAATCGTGGGGGTAGGGTTCGCATGTGGCCCCCTACTGGTGAGCAAGCACCACTGTTTGCAGCAGCCTCCAACTCTCCGCGCAGAAGATGGCCATGTCCGTGACGTTGGAGGCGACCAGGAGCTGCGCCCCCCGGGCAGCGAACCTCGCGCTGCGAACGGCGGAGCCGCTGGCCTGGAGCTCGCGCACGAGAGCCTGGGCGCGCGCTCGGCCGCGCATGATGATGATGATGATGATGATGATGATGCGCTCGGCCGCGCATGATGATGATGATGATGATGATGATGATGATGATGATGATGATGATGATGATGATGATGATGATGATGATGGTGGTGGTGGTGATGATGATGATGATGATGATGGTGATGGTAATGATCATGATGAAGACTTATGCTTATGATGAGGATGAAGAAGATGATGATGCTACTGATGCTGATGATGCTGATAATAATGCTGACGGTGAGGATGCAGCTGTTGATGATGATGAGGATGATGATGCTGCGATGATGATGATGCTGCTGATGATGAATATGCTGACGACGACGATGGTGATGATGCTGATGATGATGATGATGATGATGATGATGATGATAAGACTGATGATGAGGATGATGATGCTGATGATGATGATGATGATGATGATGATGACGATGCGGAGGAGGAGGACGATGACGGTGACGATGGTGAGGATAATGATAACGGTGAGGATGCTGGTGCTGATCATGATGAGGAGGATGTTGCGATTATGATGATGATGATGATGATGATGATGAGGAGGAGGAGGAGGAGGAGGAGGAGGAGGAGGAGGAGGCGGCGGAGGAGGGAGCGGGGAACAGGGAGGAGGAGCAGGAGGAGGAGCAGTGAGGGGCGTGGCGGGGATGAGGAGAGGGTAGGCCTGGTCCTGGTAGTCCCAGACCACGACCGAACCAGAGGCCAGGCCTGAGCGGGGGCGAAAAACGGGGTGCTGGCTCCGGGGGCAAACATCGACCTGGAACCAGCGAGCTACCGCTGCGAGGTCGGCGACGAGCCCACGATGGCCAGACCGCACCCTGTCTGAGTTGGTTGGGCGCCCCCAGCCTAGATCGCCGATGCGTGGGCAGTGGGGGGTCGAAGCTCCCCCCCCCTGCAAGAGCTCCAAGAGACCGAGCTCCAGAGAGCTCCAAGAGAACTCCAGGGGTCGAGAGCTCCAAGAGAAAGAGTGGCTCCCGTGTCCGAGCGGTCACGACGATGCATGGGTCGATGCTCCTCTCCCCGGGGCCCAATTCGAAATCCAAGGGTCGAATTTTCCAGAAACCCGCGACTTGAAAACGTCGGGTCGTCGGAGGTCTGTGCTCTGGCCTTTACTAGCCGGCCCCTGGACCTCTGCATGGGCGAGCTTGGGCCAGGATCTCGAAGCGGATCCAACCCTGGCGACGAGAACGCGCCCAGAGGCTCCCCCCAAAAAGCGAAACCTCGAACTTCTGTCCTACGAGCTTTTTATTTTGTCCTCTGGAGCTGGGCGGGCGTTACTGGGGGGGGGGAGGGGCCGGTGACGTATTTCCGCTGGCTCCGTCTGGGAATTAGCTGCACCCAGCCTTTCACAGAGAGCGCCAGTGCGAATCGTGACGTTACCAGGTTACTAGGGGGTGGGGGGAAGGGGTGGGGCTGGTCTTCGCCACTGGCGTGGTCGCGAATAGTAAATGCGAGATCTTTTCCTCCTTCGCCCCCCTGGAGGCCTGACGCGACCCAGGTCTTCGTCGGGTGGAAGTCCACACACCAGGCCGCAGAGCGCTGAGCGAACTGCACGCGGCTCTCCTGCAGCACGGGCCAGCATCCTTCGCATTTCGAGGCGTCGGCAGCGCTGTTCTGACGCTCTCGCCGAGCTGCGGAGGAGGAGGAGGATGAGGAGGAGGAGGAGGCGGCGGAGGAGAGGAATGATGATGATGATGATGATGATGATGATGATGATGATGATGATGATGATGATGATGATGATAATGATAATGATAATGATAATGATGATGCTGATGCTGATGATGATGATGATGATGACGATGTTGTTGATTATTCTGATGATAGTCATGATGATGCTGATACTGGTGATGCTGATGATGCTGATGCTGATGGTGAGTATGATGATGATGCTTATGATGATGATGCTGATTGTTCGGCTGATGATGAACATGAGGATGAGTATGATGATGATGCTGATTATGCTGATGATGATGGCGATGGCGACGGTGATGGTGGTGATCATACTGATGAGTCTGATGCTGCTACTGATGATGATGATGCTGATGATGATGGCGAGGACGATGATGAGGAACGACCGTACCGAATGATAGGTTGAGGAGGATGAAGAGAATGAGGAGGACGAGGGAGACGGAATATGAAGAAACATAGGCATAGGCATAGGCGTTCGGAGGCCTTGAGCAGTCACATCTCGGTTATTATTCGGCTTCTCGGATCTGATGAAGAGGGTGAGGAGGATAAAAAGGAGGAGGAGGAGGGGGAGGAGGAGGGGGAGGAGAAGGAGGAGGCGGCGGAGGAGCAGGAGGAGCGCGTTTCTCGATCGCCCGCGAGCATCGCGGACGACTCTGAACGCGTGCCAGCTTCGAGGCAGAAGGGCTCGAGCCTGTACTGCGGGAGTCATGGCAATTCGTATGACGACGACGCTGGCAACGTTAATGAGACCACCGATGACGAAGGCACACTGCACCATTGTATATGAAGCTTTCTGAATGAAGGGCGACTCGGCCTGAAA